GTGATGATCATGGTGGAAGAGGAGGCCATGGTGATGATCATGGTAGCGGAGGCTGCCAGGACCAGGACCATGGGAACAGACACAGCCCCGAGCGCCAGAAAGACCACAGCCCTCGTCGTCGTCGCCATCGTCGTCGTCATGGGAGTGGTGGTGGGAGCCCTGGTCGCAACAGTGGTGGAAGTGGCAGCGGTGGCGACAGTGGTGAAAGTGGCAGCGGTGACAGCGGTGATGACGATCGCGGCCATGGAAAACATGGGCACAAACACAGGAACAAGCACGGCAAGGGGCATGGGCGTGGTCATCATCATGGACACGGGAGATGGTAGAAAGGTGAGACCGAGATTTGAATTTCATAAACGTCCAATCATTTGAGAATTTCTCTGTTTTCTCAACGTTTTGTTTCTCGCGTTTCAGGCCTCGACCAGATTGAACCAGAGACCTGCACTGAACTATGGGATGTGGAGTATTTTGCCCGTCGTCATCATCACAGCGTCGTCCTCTGGAAGATGAAAATCCAACAAAGCACGATGTTGTTGATGAACTGTGCTGCAGAACAATGACGTTGACCCTGTGTTACTGCTCTTCAATAAAATGTTTTAAAGACAAACACAATCTTCCATCTTTTTTATACTGAATCTAAGACTGAACTGAAACACAACTGAACGCTGGATATTACCCACGATCCTCTGCTTCTAGAACCAGAGGAGCTGCGGCTGTAAGAAATTGTGTCCCGCCTCCTTCTCACTGTGTTTTCATTGAGCTCAACGTGAGCCAGTGGTGGAGGAAGTACTCATGCATTTCACTGAAGTAAAAATACACAGAAAGGTACTTCAGTCAAAGTGAAGTTACCACTAGAGTTGCCTTCTACTGCCACCATGTTGTCATTATGTGGTATTACAGGTGTCAGCTTCCCTCACGTGAACCAGTGTCTTGTCTGTTCTGGGTCATTTGAAGACTGATTTAAACTGGAGCAGAGCAGCAGGTGGAGTTGAACCAATGACAACGTGGTGGAAACGTTCAGGACGTGTGAGGACTCCACCCAGTAGGCAAGGCACAAGTGTCAAGCAGGTTCAGCAACACTGGAAACCAGACCTGTGTGGCGACTTCTGTTTTGACACTTCAGAACGAGGTCTGTGTTTCTTCTGCTAAATTAAACAAAAGCTCCCTAACGACGTTTTCAGCTGAGGTTGAATTCATGTGGACACGGACTGCACAGAGGGATTTTACTGGGAATCTTTAAATTCAGACTTTTTGTCTGTAACCTGCTGAAGTGAAGCTGCACCATCGACATTTTTTTTTCAATGTTTTGCCGCTCGTGCTCTGAGTGTGTCACTGCCCACACTGGAAACTCTTGACAACTGAGGCTGAGTGGAAATGGGGACCTCGGTGGTGTCTGGAGTCAGGACTCCAAGAGGGGTTCTCTGCCTGCTCCTGCTCCTCCTGCTCTGCTGCTTTAGAGGGAAATGTGAGCTGCAGGAGTCCAAACCTTTAGCGCCAGACAACCTTCCCTCCGCCAAACCTTTCCCCGATCAAATCAATGAACCGCAGGCCTTTCCCGAGGAGGAGAGGGCCAACCTCCCTGTGTTCACTATGGACTACCCTCGCATCCAGGTCCCCTTTGAGTTTACTCTTTGGATACTGCTGGCCTCCTTTGCCAAAATTGGTACGTGTGGCTGAACCACGTTGTTTGTGCATGATGTAATTGTTCAGCCGGGAGGCAAATCTTTTCATTCTGTCTCCGCAGGTTTCCACATTTACCAAAAAATCACCATCTGGATCCCGGAGTCCTGCCTCCTGATCACCATCGGCCTCGTGGTCGGCGCCATCATGCACTCGGTCAAAGAGGAGCCCCCCGCTGTGCTCGACTCCAACGTCTTCTTCCTCTACATGCTCCCCCCCATCGTCCTCGACAACGGCTACTTCATGCCCACGAGGCCGTTCTTTGAAAACCTGGGCACGGTGCTGTGGTACGCCGTGGTGGGAACGCTGTGGAACAGTATCGGCATCGGGCTCTCTCTGTTCGCCATCTGCCAGTTTGAGGTGTTTGGAGTTCAGGATATCAACCTGCAGGTCGGTGACAGGACGGGGGGGCGGGGGGCGGGGGGATACCAGAGCATTCATTGGTTTAAACTGTGACAGAGGAGGAAAGTGCTTTCTTCTGATTGAAAGGTCAAAGGTGACGTCTTGCGTGTGTCTTTTGGGATGTGACACTTCCACTTATATATGTTGTGTTATGTATACTTGGATATTAATCCCTTATTGTTCCTTAAACCAAAGCAACATCCGCCTTGTAAATAATCATCACATGTGTGCATAAGACAGTTTCCTCAACTGGATACACCAACTATTGTAAACGTACCTAATGATGGACTTTATTCATCTCACTTTATTTCCCAGGAGAACTTGCTGTTTGCCTCCATCATCTCTGCCGTGGACCCTGTGGCTGCTCTCAATGTGTTCGAGGACATCGGGATCAACGAGCAGATCTACATCGTCATATTTGGCGAAGGACTCTTCAACGACGCTGTCACTGTGGTGAGTGCAGGAGACGGGAGACCTGGAAAACCTGACTCTCGATAATCGAGGCTCATTTCTGAGAGGTTTGATTTTGAATCAGGAATCTGAGAAAGATTTCACACACGTCTGTTTCACCCGCCGGCTCAGGTTTGAGCTTTTTAGTGACACAGTTTTTTGTGATTTGACTGAAGCTGCATGAAACTATTTAAACTTTGATAACGTCTCCGCACAGTGTCGGGGTCCTGTGCGTGTGTGACACGCTGTGTTTTGCTCCTGCAGTTTTCCCCTGTGTCTCGTCGGGCCAGTTCCTCGCTGTAAAAAGGGAATGTCGAGTCATTGCTAACCCGCCTTTGCTTCGGACGAGTTTCACCCGAGAGTTTCACTCATCACCTCCTGGCACTGACAGCGTCAGCCTGAGCCAGAAATAAATTAAACTCAGTTGTTGAATCGGACGAGATTCTTGAGTGTTTGAGTTTAACTTGTTTTACAGAATATCTCCAGTTTATCGTCTTTGTGGGTCAAAGTTGAAGCTCAGTAGAAACCATGTGTCCTCCCTCTCCTCAGGTTCTTTACAGCATGTTTTCCTTCTTGGCCAACCTGCCCATCGTCGAATCAGGCGACGTGTTTCTGGGGGTGGCCCGTTTCTTCGTGGTGGGCGTCGGCGGCGTCCTCTTTGGCCTCCTATTTGGATTTGTGGCGGCATTCACCACCCGCTTCACCCACAACGTCCGTCACATCGAGCCCCTCTTCGTCTTCATGTACAGCTACCTGGCGTACCTGGTGGCTGAGCTGTTCGCCATCTCCAGCGTGTTGGCGTAAGTGAAGCACAAACACAGATCAGACAATCGGATATCCACTTAGCTGCTTCTCACAGTGATGGAGGAAATGAGCCTTTGCCCTCAAGACTCTTAAAACAAGTGCAACTTGTACGAACCTGCTCCTCTGAATAGTTCTCCACCCTGCGAGTGTGTGGAGGCGGGAAATGTGTGAGGTCTTTTTCATTGTTGTTGTTGTTCTTTGGTCTGATAGCAGAGATTTGTTCAGGTCACAGATACACAAACTAATACACTTAAATATACAGCTAATATTCTTC